CCTACTTCTCCACAAAAAAAACTACTGGCCCAGTAACTATGTCGACGTCTGGGTCACAGACGGAAATTCAACCTCAGACTTTGCAAACGACAGCTTTGCCAGGAGACACTTCACAGCCAATCACCGAGCCATCAAAAAGAAAGAGTGGAAAAAAATGAAACAGAAATCTAACACCTTTTCAGTCTTCACCTTCAGAGGTTCCTCAACAAAATTCTTTTGGACCCCTAGATATGGAGTTCACTCTGTTTCCGCAGGACAGGCATTCACGTGAACGATCGCCAATTGAGCCGCCACCATGACTCAATTGGCCAATATAATTCAGTGGAATTGCAGTGGACTGCATAGAAACTTTAATGAAATACAATTACTCATTCAAGATCTTCAACCGTCAGTATTATGTCTTCAAGAGACATACCTTAAAAATACTGATACCTTTAACTTAAGAGGGTTTACTGATTATCATTCCTTCTCCCCTCCAGGCGATTAAGCTACTGGAGGCGTCTCTATTTTGGTACACCATAGTGTCATTCACAGCCCTGTGACTTTAAATACGGATCTTCAAACTGTTGCTGTTCGTCTAACTCTGCACATTGCTCTGACATTGTGCAGCTTGTATATACCTCCCTCCTCAAATATTCAACAATCAGATCTTCAAAATCTGTATGATCAACTTCCGAAACCATGTCTCATCATGGGCGATTTTAACGGACACAACCCGCTTTGGGGAAGTGCCCATACTATTAACAAAGGTAAAATCCTTGAGGAATTCATTTCTGATAATAATTTATGTATTTTAAATGACGATTCAGCCACTTATTTGCATCCAGCTACGGGAGCATATTCTTCCCTGGATCTGTCACTTGCCGATTCAAACTTATATAATGAATTTGAATGGATGGTTCATGATGACCTATGTGGGAGTGATCATTTCCCCACCATTATCAAAACAATTAACCCTGGTGATGATCCACCTTCATCAAGAAGGAACTTCGCCAGGGCTGATTGGCCATTATATGAGGCCATGTGTGTTGAACACTGAAAAAAATGACGTATTTGCGAACAGCGAAGATCCTATACAACTGTTTTCCGATATACTCAATGACATTGCTGACCAAGCAATACCCAAATCCTCTGCAATTCCACATATTCGTAAAACATGGTTTAGTAATGAATGTAAACAGGCCAGAAAGAGTAGGAAGAAAGCTGAAAAATATTTGCCGGCATCCTACTGTCCATAAGTTAGATCAAGTTAAAATTTTAAATGTCAAGGCTCGACAAGCATTTAAACAGAATAAGCGTCAGTCTTGGAGGAACTGTTTCCAAAATACATTCCCGTACACCGATTTCAAAGGTGTAGAACATGGTTCAAAGGATAAAAAGCAAAGGCTCGAAATCTACTGTTCACCATCTTAAAGACGGTGAAAATTTATTAACTGATAAAGCTGACATTGCGAATAAACTTGGTGAAACCCTCGCCAAGCATTCTTCTTCGTCAAATTATGTTCCCGAGTTTCGAAAATATCAGAAACAAGAGGAGAAGAAAAGAATTAATTTTAAATCGGATAATGGCGAAGATTATAACGAATTATTTTCGCTACATGAGCTCCATACTGCCCTTGAGCAAGCTCATGATACAGCTACAGGAGCTGATAATATACACTATCAGCTCTTGAAGCATTTGCCTGAGTCATCTCTGGAAATCCTTTTGGAAATATTTGATCATACATGTATATGGACTTCAGGGAATTTTCCACCTTCGTGGCATAATGCCATGGTAGTCCCAATTCCAAAACATGGCCGGGATCATTACTGATCCATCTAATTAAAAGACCAATCACTTTAATGAGTTATGTCTGCAAAACCATGGAACGTATGTTTAATAATAGATTAACATGGTATCTTGAAACCAAAAACCTTATAACAAATACTCAAGGTGGTTTCAGGAAAAATTGTAGTACCATTGATCATTTGGTACGTTTAGAACCCTTTGTTAAAAATGCTATAGGAAATAAACAACATGCTGTGTCAATTTTCTTTGATCTTGTGAAAGCTTATGACACGACCTGGAAACATGGCATTTTGAAGGATTTACATGATTTTGGTTTGAGAGGCCGTTTGCCTCTTTTTATATCACAGTATTTAAAAGACAGGCACTTTCAAGTCCGAGTGGGTTCAACCCTGTCTGATCATTACAAGCAGGATCAGGGTGCCCCACAAGGCAGTATTTTGTCTGTCACACTGTTTAGCATCAAGATCAATAGTTTATCAAAGGTTTTAAATGATTTAATTAATGGATCATTATTTGTGGATGATTTCAATATTTCTTGTCGTGGTAAAAATATGCATACTATTGAACGGCAACTGCAGTTATGTTTAAACAAAATAAATAAATGGTGTCTTGAAAACGGTTTTAAATTTTCTAAATCCTAAACTAATTGTATACATTTTTTGTAGAAAATATAAGCCTCATAAGGACCAAGACTTATCTTTAAATGGCACTCCCATTAAAATTGTAAAGGAGGCCAAATTCTTGGGCCTTATTTTCGATTCCCATTTAATATTCCTGTCACATATTAAACCCCTTAAAGCTAGATGCCTGAAGGCACTCGATTTGTTAAAGGTTGTCTCCAATTCAAAGTGGGAAGGGGATCAAACTACCCTCCTTCACTTCATTGGTGCGATCTAAACTTGATTATGGCTCCCTCGTATACGGTGGAGCCTGCAAAAGCAACCTAAAACTGCTTAATTCTGTCCACCACCAAGGCCTAAGGTTTTGTCTTGAGTATTTTAGAACTTCTCCTGTATAAAATTATCCTTACAGTATATAACAAAACTCTATTCTAACGAGTCTAATCCTGCGTTTAACTGTGTTTTCAATCGTCTTTATGAGGATTTGTACAACAAAAAACCTTCGCTTGTTCCGCCTCTTGGGCACAGAATTAAGCCATTCATTTCTGCTGCCGGCATTCAGCTGGAAAATATAGCTCCTTCCCGTCTTCTTTCTTCTCCTCCTTGGCAACTGGTGAGGCCTGAAGTTGACCTATCGCTGACAAAGTTTAAGAAATCTGAAACTAATGAATAACAATAGAAACAAGAATATAATCACCCAAAAACTAGATATTATACATATAAATCCTTATTCACAGATGGGTCCAAGGATTGTGGTGTGGTGGCATGTGCCACTGTCATTGGATCCAGAACAATATCTTCTCGATTACCAAATAACAGCTCTATTTTCACAGCAGAAGCTAACGCCATCTTAACAGCTCTTAAATATGTTCATAAATTATTGAATTGTACAATGAACTTGCTACTGGCCAATGCGACATCGTCTTTGTTGGTTATCCAGCCACGTTGGCATTTCTGGGAATACAATGGCCGATCTTGCTGCCAAGGCAGCACTCAACAAATCTGGGACACCGCTTCTTATTCCATCCTCTGATTACAAAGCTAGCATTAGAAATTGCATCCGTGATCTGATGCATAAGAAGTGGGACACCCAAGTAGGTATAAATAAATTACATGCTATAAAACCCTATATCGGTTACACCTACTTGGGTTGTCAGTCCAGATTTGAAGAGGTCATCATGCGACGATGTCGTATTGGCCACACAAGATATACTCATGCCTACCTATTGAAAGGTGGGGATCCTCCGTTTTGCATCCCTTGTGATGAAAGAATCACGGTCAAGCATGTCTTGCTTGACTGTGTTGAATATTCCATCACAAGGGATAACTATTTTAAATCACAAACTATGAAGGATATTTTTAATAGTATCAGTTCTAATTTAATTTTTGCATTTTTAAAAGCATTAGATTTGTTAAATGATTTCTAAATGAATCAATATTTTATGATTGGAAGTTTGAATTAGTAACTAAGATTGTTAGTGGCTGTATCCTCGAGGGGGGGTTAAAGTACTGTAAAATTATTATCCTCCTGAGAGGGTACATAAGTCCCAAAACATTCAAGGTAAATTTAAACCTTCTTTTTTTTAATCGTAGAATATGTGTAATTTTAATGTATGGCTAGATGTATCTTAATTGCTGACAGCTGAAGGGGTAATGTAAATCCAGCTAGGGCCCATGCAGGAAGCAAATGTACTGTAAGTCCCCATGGTCCCTAGTATGGTGATCTACCTTCAGTTGTTGGCAATCTATAGCCGGTTTTTATATTGTATTGTCATTTATAGGTAAAATAGTTTAGATTTAATTACTAGTCTTAAATATATTCCTGTGATAATCTAGTTGTTTTACTGTCCTTCGTCGACAAGTGTATTATAATGTAATTGCGTTAATTGTTAATTTATAACTTTTTTAAGTCACAATATGGCTGAAATATTGCAGATGTGACTATAAATTTTAACTCACTCACTATTATTTTGTAACAGTACTTTGAACTGAGATTTGGGAAGCGAGTACGGATATTGGCGTCTCTTAACTGGATTCTACAAGTGGTAAGTTGTGACATATCTGTGCCATAAAATTTATGTTATGAAGTGGTAATTCATCTTGCAAATGTTTAATAGAGAGCAACATAATTGATTGTACAATTAGGACCATATCATGAAGATGTGTTTAAGAATCTGCTATCAGGTGTTCGCAAAAAGATGAGCGTATCCTTCCTACAGGTGGCACCCATCACAAACACTTTCAAAGGCAGGTCAATTGTTCACCTGAAATATGGAAACGTGTGGTGCAAGCCAAACTAAGGAATTGCTTCGGATATAATGTTTGCCACGAATGCTTCAGATTCGGAACTTTTAACGTTTTACTGAAGTATTAAATGTTGTCGCCTTGATCAAGTCATGTGACACTCTTTGAAATTTTGGCCGATAAAGTATTCTCAATTGTACATAAAAATGTGCGAAATGAAAACTCCAAAGCTAGGAACTGCTAGAACATAAACGGACTGTTCACTATGGGAAAGTTGATATGAAGTTAACGCGTCTTCTGGAGAGTGTTTTGTCTCTCACTTTGTGTCTTTATGCATGGATCTTACAATGACGGAGATGAGGCGGACTCACTGGTATCCAAAAACTTTCCAGCTGAAGATGGTAAATCAATGAAAATTCATTGTGATCATTGACTGACCTTAAGATAAACGTCTTGGATGAATTACCTTCTTTGACTTTGCCTATCGCAAATTCCGAGACATAAAGGCTCCGTTGAAAGGGAGCATAATTAATGGCAAAGGTATGCCAGCGTCCTACCAAAACCCAGGTCTGGTCACATGATAGAAAACAACATGCCCTCGGTGAAGTGTGGTATAACAACTCAATGTACAGTATAATTTTCGGTTGTGGCTACCATTTACGTTGATCAAGGTGTGGCAGCGGTTTAATTAACATCCGCTCGTCACGCTGAAGACCCGGGTTCGATTCCCCACGTGGTTACGATGTGTGAAGCCCATTCCTGATGTCCCCCAACGTGATATTGCTCGAATATTGCTGCGGCGTAAAACCATACTCGTTCACTCACTAACAATTGTGTGGATCAATGTTCCGGATGTCATTCAATGTATGCTATGTCCAGACTCGACTGTATACACACCCCTATCATAGAGCTGAAATACTGCTGACTGAAGTGTTAAACAAGAAGCAAACAAAATCTATACTGTCCTAGGCTTCTGAATACAAAAGTTACATATCTGAAACCCATCATCACAATGATAATGTATGTAAGTTTCATGATTTATTCATTATATTCACAGCTGCTCTACATGGCTTTCGTACTGTATGCCCCCTCACTGGCGCTCTATTCAGGTGAGTTCATGATGTCAACAGTCAGTTAGGAGATATAAATTTGAAATAACATAACAAAAACCCTGCAGCGCATATATCTCATTTTTTGTAAAAAATAATTATTGCCAAGTGTCATCACACGAAAAAGGTAATTCGTCAAAATGTGTGCATCTGTTGAATAGACCCAGACAATAAAGCTGGAAGACGTTTTAAAAGTCCCTTGTCATGTGCCTTACAACACGCAACACGTGACAAATAAGCAAACACGTCATGCGACTCTCTAATAGAGAGTTTACGGCTGAAACAAGAAAGTATAAACAAAAATAAACAAAAATAAAACACAACAAAGACATGTTCATTCACCAAAATGTCAGTTCTCAGTAGCGCATGTGATCCATGTGGCGTGATCACAGCCTGGTGCTATCGTCTTAAGTACCAAGTAAGCATGTGGGTGGCTGCCAAAGGAAGACTGCTTTTCTATTCAGCATATTGTCGAGATCTTACTTTACCTCGAGATCTTCGAGAAATCGATCTGCTACTTGTTCCACACGTCTTCGATAGATTATGAGTTCTGGTCAACGAGCTAACCTGCTACTTCTGTAGGTAATTAAAGTCGAGCGTTATCGTCAATGCGGATGCACAAGCGAACGGTTTCACGACTCATCAAGAATGTCATCCCTGTGCACACTTGTCACCTTTGATTCCTCCAGTCCCTAATTATGCCATCCCAGTCATGACTGAGCCCCGTTCACAGCAGTCATTTTAGGCAACATTTGAACGTAAGGTCTTTCCCCCTTGCCAGTGCCACACAACTATCCGTAAAGTCAAGCAGTATTACAATTCTTCAGTTATAAGTATTGGAATCTAGTCTTGGTCTGCCCAATTAATGTCATAGTCTATCCAAGACTAACATAATTGTCTGTGATGTCGGGTCTGTGGGAAGCCATTACATGGTTAGGTGAAACAATTACGCACTGATTGAAAACATTAAAGCTGAGTACATAGGCGCATTCAACCCTTAGAAAACAATGTTTTGCTCTCTCACGATGGTGTGCAACGATTCCTTTTATTACCTTGTGCATTTCATGCCTATGACTTCATTCTGCGGTATGATGTGTACCCGGGTATTTGAATATTTATTAGAAATATCATTAAAACCTGGTCCTTAGCAAACGACCTATAGTATATTGTAATATGGACCCGAGTGCTTTAACAAGGCTTCCGTGAAATCTGCCAATACCCTTTCATTGTGTCAAACCGATTCTGTCGATGCAGTAATTGATTCTTGGTATTGGGTAAGAGTCTGTTTTAGTAACAGCGTTCACACGTTTCATGTCGGTACAGGATCTATAACGTCGCTCTCAATATGAACTCATATCTACTTTGACTTGGCTCAAGATGATTGGATTCATCCGATAGGGATGTAGGCACATCATCAACTACATCTATATCATGAAACAGTAACTCTGTACTGCCAGGTGCATCGGGAAGGAATTGCAAAGGACCTAGTTAAACAAGCTAGCTATTTGTCTCAATTCTATAGCTTAGGGCCAGCATAGTCAGCAATGCCACCACACTTTGCAAAGTTACATTTGTCATAAGTATCAGAATCTGATACAATATCTAATATCAATGGGGCGGTGGGGTAGCCTAGTGGTTAAAGCGTTGGCTCGTCACGCCGAAGACCCGGGTTCGAATCCCCACAAGGGTACAATGTGTGAAGCCCATTTCTGGTGTTCCCCGCCGTGATGTTGCTGGAATATTGCTAAAAGCGGAGTAAAACCAAACTCAGTCAGTCAGTCTAATATCAATATAATTGATTAGGCGGTACATTGTCATTCCTTTCATGACACATTCTAATCATATTGACATGACAGAGTTATGTCCTTTTCTGATGGCCTGGTGTTAGCACAACATAGTAAGTATCACTGACTTTCTTATCAATAACACATGGCTCATGGTACCTAGCAGTAATATTTGGCCAGGGATTGACAAAAACACGTACACTTATCGCCATGATTGGAATTTCTTACTTGAGGCGTCTTGTCATAATGTAGTTTCTTGTAAATGGATTCTTAAAAATTATCAGGATTGTCAGACTTTTTAGTACTCTCCCTTAAAAGTAAACAGGTCAAGAGAACGATCCATGAAAGTGCCAGTCAAATAGAATCTGGAATCAGAAGAAAGCTGCCTTTCACGACTTCCATTGAAGGTCATTTTTAATATATGTTGGCCATTTCCAACCATGCCTGTTTTTCAGCAGACGTTATGCGTGCAGTGGTTATATTGCTTGAATACTTATGTGACGGGTGTGAGGATATGACAAGTATGCCACTGTAACGTCAGAAACAGCATGGTGAAGGGATATTACAGGGCAATCTTGTCATGTAGGTATCCTTTATACCCCAGAGAAACAGCTCGGGCACATACAGAGATACGTCATGTCCAGTGTAAAACATCTCCATGTCAAGGCTTGAATAGTTAAACAAGGATTATACGTCGGTCATTAGGTTCTTATGTCTTTCTAAGGGTGGGGTCAAGCGAAGGAGAGGTCCTGCGTGAAATGTTTGCCGTTTGGCAGGAACATTGCCAGGTAAAATATATTTTTATGCAAATTGTGTAAGAGGCGGGTGCTGATACTTCTTTTAGTGAACACCTAGTGTCAACACCGATTTGATCTCTGCGTATTATTTCCACCACTACGCTTTCACGTCCCAATGGAACCTGTTTCGGTAGATATTCGATATTGGTTTTTCTGTGGCGTTCAGGTTTTACGTCTATAAAATTAGTCATTATTGTTTTCACCTTTGATGTTAATTGTTGGTTTACAACTCTGGTTTATTGCGTTTGTATTTCTCACTGTGTTTTGTAAATTCGTACTCCAGAGAATGTTTTATTTCACGTGTTTCAGTGACTGGGTTTAACCTCTGGCTGTCCATCTCAACCGTAGGGGTCATCGTGACCATCTACACTGCCCTGGTATGTATATGGGTACAATACGTCGTTGTGTTTGTACATATACATGTATTTATGACAAGACGTACTGAACGTGGTCAAGGTAATTTTCATTGGGACCATTCATTTCAATGGGTTTGAAAAACCCAACTTCACGTCGTGAAATGGTCAAAGCTTCACGGTCTCTGATGCACGTTTCTCTCATTCGCGAGCCAATGAAGAAAACTACTTAGTTCGATAATAAGCTGCGTGGAGTTCACATGATATAGGATGCAGTGTAGTATGTGTTGCACGAGACATCTTGTCTATGTAATCTGACCTCTAATTGCTTTTACCATTTGTTGTTTTCTCACGCAAGAACTGGGTCTCGGCATAATATATTGGTTTAAAAAAAGCAGATACATCGCTGACCAACATAGCCACTTGCTTGACCGAACATAGTGTATGTACGACAAACATATGCCGTTATTGAAAAAGGCTCATGAATCGAAAACGATTTCACATGAAATAAGTGTCTTATTCATACTGGACTCACTGAAATAAGCTTGGAACCATGCTTTGTCGAATCCCCTGCTGCCAATTGAAATAATGTATTCTTACAAATTGAAAATATATCAAATCCTGCCTTCCCCATAGAATATTGGATGATGTACTTAATTTGTGGTAAATATGCACATTGGCTCACACCTTGTGGCAAACATCTCACTATTTGATAGTGTTTCAAAACCACATGCTCATAATCTACTGGTAATCGTACAATGGACTATGTTTGAGCAGATACTTCTTGTGAATATGGTCAGCGTTTTGTGGCTTGTATTTCTAGGGCGGCATGAAGACCGTGATATGGACTGACTGTCTACAGACAGTCATCATCATTGTTGGACTGGTATCTCTGCTAGTTCAGGGATCCAAGGCTGTTGGGGGATTTTCGAATGCATGGAAAATTGCTGGCGACAGAGGTCGCCTACGGTTCTTAGAGTGAGTAGACTCCTGTTGTAGAGCCCACGAAGATATGACGAGTACCGTGGTGCGGCCTCTTGAATAGACAAAGACCTCGACAAGGAGTGTAATATGTTGAAAACGACTCTCTTTGTTTTCCAAATGCGGAAATATCGTTTCAATACATGTGCATTCGTGTATACTGTATACATGCTGGAATTCAATGAGTCGTTGAATATGCCCAGTATCGTTATATAGATATATTCTGAAAATGCCTCTACGTACACCAAACAATTCACATTAAACAGCGCTGGTAAAATCGCAGTACCAGTGAAATGACAAAACTAGAATTCCACTTACCCATGGATGGTGCACAATTCAGGTTAAAAGAATAATGCAATGCCAGGCGCTATATACACTCGTCTTGATAAAAGCAGAATGGAATTTAGCGGAAAGCATAATATATCGTAATAATTTCTGTTAGGGGTTACTTGATGAGACGTGACGTGTACAATAAAGAGTACGTTCTGACCACAACAGAATATTATTAATCTTTAATTGTTATCACTGATGAAGAAATACAATTAAAAAGATTCTTCTTACAACCCCAGTTTTGACCCCAACCCAGGAGCGCGTCACTCGGTGTGGTCTGTTGTTGTTGGTGGGGGGATCATGTGGATGTCCCAGCTAGGTGTCAATCAAAGTCAGGTTCAAAGACTACTGGCCTGTCCCACCCTCAGGAAGGCGAAAACGTGAGTATCACAATCAATATGTTCCTGTAAACATAGATAATATTATACAAGAACAAACAAACGGTTAATACTCCTGTCTCGTAGGAAGGAGTAGTGCCAGTGTGCCATGTGTTAACTGCTGCTTGTATTATCGCATCGGTGACTGTGTCCATTATTACTGCTCATACTATCAACCACATGGCTGCCTGGACCGTAAGCAGGTCACGGTGACATAAAGTGTATAGCTTCAGACAATCCCAACGTCTATTAACTTATCAGTTTTTGACGCCATAGGGAGCCCTATCTGGACTTAATGACCCCTATTCTTGGGTACGTCATAACAGATGGAGTGGTCAGACACGAGATTCTTGAGAGGCTACTTCTTGCCCCTTCTTCAGGGGACAAAAACAGGTGTGGAGAACATACAGAGATGTATATGTACATCTATGGCTTCCTGTAAATCTGGTATATATAATATGTTTTCTACACCTGTCTTGATCACCTGAAGAAGGGGCAAGCAGTGGCCCAGAAACGCCGTGTTATACAATAAAGAAGTTGCCATCCATATACTCGTCTCATATGGTCAGACACGGTTATTAATTACCTGTTGTGTCAGTTTCAAAAGCCTGTCCGGTCTCCATTATTAAATACGTTGATGTAGCTTGAATGTCACTGAGGGGGCTAACCTAGCCTTCACTGACTAAACTGTTATTACGACTATAACCCAGCATGTTGTACACTGACTAAACTGTTATTACGACTATAACCCAGCATGTTGTACACTGACTAAACTGTTATTACGACTATAACCCAGCATGTTGTACACTGACTAAACTGTTATTACGACTATAACCCAGCATGTTGTACACTGACTAAACTGTTATTACGACTATAACCCAGCATGTTGTACACTGACTAAACTGTTATTACGAACATAACCCAGCATGTTGTACACTGACTAAACTGTTATTACGACTATAACCCAGCATGTTGTACACTGACTAAACTGTTATTACGACTATAACCCCGCATGTTGTACACTGACTAAACTGTTATTATGACTATAACCCAGCATGTTGTACACTGACTAAACTGTTATTACGACTATAACCCAGCATGTTGTACACTGACTAAACTGTTATTACGACTATAACCCAGCATGTTGTACACTGACTAAACTGTTATTACGACTATAACCCAGCATGTTGTACACTGACTAAACTGTTATTACGACTATAACCCAGCATGTTGTACACTGACTAAACTGTTATTACGACTATAACCCCGCATGTTGTACACTGACTAAACTGTTATTACGACTATAACCCAGCATGTTGTACACTGACTAAACTGTTATTACGACTATAACCCAGCATGTTGTACACTGACTAAACTGTTATTACGACTATAACCCAGCATGTTGTACACTGACTAGACTGTTATTACGACTATAACCCAGCATGTTGTACACTGACTAAACTGTTATTACGAACATAACCCAGCATGTTGTACACTGACAGGGCGCTGTGGCTGAGCTCAATAGGCCTGGTGTTAATTGTGACCTTGTGCACGCTGACAGGGCTGCTCATCCATGCCTTCTACAAAGACTGTGACCCCCTCAGATTCCAGAACCTCATCACAAGTTCAGATGAGGTGAGCTCTGTGACGGAAAAGTAGTATGGAATAAAAGTATGGTATAATATCCTAAAAAGGTATAATTTACCTTTCAGATGGAGAGCTACTACTGACCAAACTATCCTTCATTACAACAGAAGTAGCGTAGTTTTAGAGCTGTGATAGCTTTATATATTTAGCTCTTGCACTACACGAAGTATTGTGCTAAGGAGCCAAATGATTAGAGTTACCTTACTGTATACCAAAGACGACTGCGAGCACGATCAAACTGTCAAGTTTTAAAGATATATTTCGTTTTAGTTGCAAAATCGCGGTACATTTAACGCCAGTTCGGTTCCAAATTCAAATGCCAGTTAAATCCATATGTAGTTTAGTTCTATATTGATTTGTATTTCCTGATTTCACATAGACAATGGCTGCTTTACTTTTGGTCTTCAATGTGGTAGAGACCTAAGCAGAAAATGACCGTTCTGTTATATGTTGTAAGTCTCTGACGTCAAACAATTCTTACACCTGTTACATATAGAGCGCTAATGTTAAGACATTACTAAACTGTGAAATCAGAAAATTTCCAAAAAAGAGTAATGAATGATTTATTAACAAACAGCATTCAAATGGACACGGGATTTTAGTAATAACAATTGTATAACGCAAAACAATGGGTAACTCTTGTAGCAGTGGCAATACATTACAGACTCAATTACATCAACCAACGCACTCACAACTGCCCAGAATTGGTTACAGCCGAGTTCTTGAATGAATCCAGGAAACACTGTCAGAACGAGGCCGAAAAGTGGAGGTTCTGAGATATGTATCTTCTCCAACATGATCAAATATGATAGCATGTCGTATACTGTGTCCGGTCGCCATTGTCGCGCACTTATACAGACACAGCCAGCCTTCAAGACACTGCTATGCCAAGGAACTTCAACAATCAAAATCAGTACTGGGTGTGAAACGGTAACTGTCCCAATACCACAACTTAGGGATATAATTATGACCTGTCCTGGGCATGCCACTGAATAACAACCCAGCCAAAACAACGAGCGACATTCCGTGACTGTTTGATGGCTGCCACAAACAATCATACACTGCCCCATAACTTGACACTGAGGACAGATAAACCATTGACACCGGGTGTTGCATTACGATGTTTCATTAGTTTGCCCTTTGTATAGAATCCGACTACATATTCTTATAACATGTGACAAATTAAATGTCAAACAAAGGTTTTTACGGAAAGGCTTTGATATATTTCATATTATATATCCCATCTTCTTTCCTAAGCCTTCCTTCATATTTCCTACAAAAACCCTGAGATTTTATGTTGCCGAGGGGTTTATTTTATTATATAAAGTGCAAGTTTTTGGGTTGAACTGTGTCAATGCAAGTATGTTGACATGTACCCATTGTCCCATGGGATCGGGTAGTCAGACTCGCTGACTTGGTTGACACATGTCAACGTATCCCAATTGAGTAGATCGATGCTCATGCCTTTGATCACTGGATTGCCTGGTCCAGACTCGATTATTTCCAGACCGCCGCCATATAGCTGAAATATTGCTGAGCGCGGCGTAAAACTAAACTCACTCACTCACTCACTTTAGAACTTGTACTGAGATAGTTCATGCCTTACGGTTTAAGATTGTACATTCGCACAATCCACACAGGCCTGTATTTGTCCAATGCTCTATGAATGATGTAACACTGTTTCAGCTCCTTCCGCTGTTTGCTATGGACATATTTGTAAACATGCGAGTACTTCCTGGTATATTCCTGGCGTGCATCTTTAGCGGGAGCTTGAGGTAATGTACAACTCTTCACAGTAAACACCACATCAACTCTAGAGAATAATGGGTGTCGATTAACAGAGGAGAAATTCCATTTGGTGCTAAAGGTGAAATAGCAGTGACAATTATAGGAATGTATCACTGAAAATCGAGAAAACAGTTTTAATAGTCTTCGATGTAATACCTGAAATGACATCAGTTACACTGCTTACCGTTTCGTGTCATCCCTGGGGTGAGTGAGTGAGTTTAGTTTGAAGACGCTTTCAGCAATATTCCAGCAATATCACGGCGGGGAACACCAGAAATGGGCTTCACACATCGTGCCCAATTCGGGAATCGAACCCGGGTCTTCAGCGTGAGCGAACGCCTTAACCACTAGGCTACCCCGTGTCGTCACTGATCTTCAGTAATCCATGCAAAGATGTATCGTCCATGTATTACGTTTACGCCGAATGGATTTCGGCACATAATCTGGTGTTCATGTAAGGACATCAACGTATTAGGACATGTTAAGGTTGATGTCATCACGTAACATTTGGTATGGGTAGAATCATTTCCAGCAAAACAACTCGCATCACCCTGAAAAGGGGTATTCGGTAGTCTTGCGTCAAATATGGGACATAGAGCCCTCAGTATTGGTTACCGGCCGAAAGAGATTCAGTTGGGCGTACAAGGAAATCTTATGATCGGAAATGAACAAATCTATAAATATTGGGGTTCAATAGTAAGATATTATTATATAGTCGATATATCAGCAGTAATGTTATGATAAAAACGAGGAACTATCTTCTCATACTTCCAGCACCCTATCGTCAGGTCTCAACGCGCTAGCTGCTGTCATTCTCGAAGATTACATCCGAGTTTTCTGCTGCACCACAATCACGGAC